CCATAGGGCTAGATATCAGGACTTCAGAGAATCTTGATTGATCCCAGTGCCTGTTTTGATTAAAATGGTTTGTTTAGATAGGGCTCTGTCAAGGTACCAGAAGAAAGAGTGAGCTTTTCCTGTAGGAAGATAATATCATCTTGATCCTGAACAATGTTTTACATAAAAATCCAACATTCAGTAAAAAATTAGTAGATGCATAAGCATGTATATGTGCACAGGGAAACACATAAACACACAACTGGATGGTACAGATAAAACGAGCAAAAACCTAAACCCCCCAAATGCTGGGATAATCCAGATATTCGAATTAATTGACATACATGTTAAAATAAATATGGCTAATGTGCTGAACATAAGTAACAATAGAGAAAACAGATATAAAGAGAATTTCATCAAACAATTGAAATTTAAAAATGTAAATTTGATTTATAACTAAGAAATATCATACCTGATACAAAACTAAATGATTTAATACCATAGACATAAGGGAATAAAGTATCAGTGTATGCAGTTAGGCTGATATAAAAAATAAAAATACAAATAGAAAAATAATGAAAAATATAGAAAAGCATATTAGTAACATGTGGAGTATAATGAAAAACTCATACATATCATAATCCTAGGATAAGAGAGAGTAAGAGTGTGTAATAAGCAATATTTAAACAAAAAATGACAAGACTGATGAAAGTGGTTTCCCTTCAATATATTAAGAGAAACCTAATTAGGATAAATAAAAACAAAGTACACTAGGCATATTATAGGAAAGTTGCTCATGACAAAATGAAAAAGATTTTAAAGCAGCTACACAAAAGCGACATATTACTTCTAAAAAAGCATAAGTAAAATGAAGAACTTTTTAACATAAATCAATGAAACCAACAGGCAAAGAATTAATGTTTTAAGAACCCTGAAGGAAAATTTTACCAAAACTAGAATTCTATTATCAGAAAACATAACCATCAAACAGGGTATTCTAACATGTTTTTATACAAACAAATAAAAACTGAATCAGTCATATCTACACTAAAAGAAATACTTTTAGTATAAATCGTTAAACAAAAGGAAAGAGTCCTAAACAGATCACAGAATTACAGGAAGAAATAGGAAGAGACAGGAAGAGTAAATATAAATAAGTATTGATCTAATGTTACTCTAGGCAATTGTGCAGTGCCGCAGCCCGGCTGGCTGGGCAAAATAACTGGCGTGGGGGGGGGGTGACGAACAACTTGTGCAGATTGATACAGCAGGAGTGGAAGCCGTTTATTGTAGGACCAGAGGGGTATTTATACATTCCACACAGCTTATCTTAATTAACATAAACTAAATACAGCAGTCAACCAATAAGGAATCTCCACACTTAATGGCTTGCTGGCGCCACCTCACAAACCACTCCAGCTGGCAAAATGCCAGGCGCCATCCTGACTTGTTTACAGACTCTAACATGGCAGTTTCTTAAAGGATACGACATTTAAATATATGACATTTAAATTCATAATTGCAAGAACATCAAGGTACAGGTGTAGAGTAGAGATTTCTAAGGTTCCAAGGATTATCTCATGAAAGTAGAAATAGTGTAGATAACAGTTATATCTTATAATAAATAACAATCAAAAAGTAACTGAAGGTGCATAAAAAATAATAGGTATTTCAATAATCTAAAAGAAGAACAAAACCTTAGAAGCAAATGGAAGCATAGTTAGATAAGTGTGGATTGAAAGATATAATAATTGATTTAAGTAATTTAATTAAACAATCAAAATATTCAGACTATATTTAAGAACAACTCAAACACATACTACCAAATAAATGTGTGTGAGGGAGAAAGAGAGRAAACAAAGATTGAAAGTTAAGAATGGGATAGTGTGTTTAGTACACTAGCCAAAATATATTTAATATAGCTATATTCATATAAAACAAAGGAGACTTTAAGATTCTTCACTAGTGATGAAGACAGCTGTTTCATAACAATAAAAAGGCAAAGAAATAAGTGGAATCCAAGACTGAATATTTCTCTAACTACTAAAATACAAACCACAACCATATTGTGAGAGTTCATATACCTTTGTCCATTCCTAAGAGAATAAGAAGACAACACAGACACATGAACACTGAAGTACTGCACAACACAAATATCATATTCAAATACACTGACATACATAACACACTAAACACACATTCTTCTTTTTTTTTTTAAAGAGAGAGTGAGAGAGAGGGACAGAGAGAGAGAGAGAATTTTAACATTTATTAATTTTTTCTTAGTTCTCGGCGGACACAACATCTTTGTTGGTATGTGGTGCTGAGGATCGAACCCGGGCCGCACGCATGCTAGGCGAGCGCGCTACCGCTTGAGCCACATCCCCAGCCCACACATTCTTCTTACATACAATTAAAATATGAAAATTGTCTATATTCTAGATCATAAAACAAGCCTCTCTGCTTTCTGACTGCAGCAGAACAATGCAGAAATTAAAATATGACAAGAAACCCCCAATGCTTCAAAATTAAATAATAACATCCATGAGTCAAAGAAGAAATCACAACAGATATTTCCAAATAGTTTGAACTGGGTAAAAAAAATATCAAGAACTGACATATAAAAACACAATAGGAAATGTAAAGTCTTAAATGCACATATTAGAAAAGAAATTCTAAAAATCAATAATGAAAGATTTATCTCAAGAAGATAGAAAAAAAACAGCAATTCAAATGTGAATAATGAAGATAGTTATACATACAAAATACACATAAGGAAAAGAATAAAATAGATGAGAAAATTGGTGAAATTTAAAGTGGGTTATTCATAGTTATTAGTAAAATTAAAGCTCTTTAGATTAATCAAGTAAATCAATAAAAATACAAATTATCATTATTAGGAGTAAAAAAAAAAGAAAACATCATTAAAAATCCTACAGACATTTTGGAAATAAAAAGTAGATTTTGTGAACAATTTTTGCCAACATGGTGTATCTTTGTACACTATGATCATTTTTTTCTGTGACTCTAAATCTGTTCTTTAAAATAGTCTATTTTTTTTAAAAAGGAAGCCTTACTTTCAAATAATAAAACCCATGACAAAGCTATATTAACTAAGGCAATGTGGTACTGCAGGATAAACAAACAGAAAAAATTGAATATTTGAGCAGATCTGAAATCACCTAATGTATAAGAGGAATGAGGCTTCTGAAATAATTTTGAATGTATTAACTTTTCAATAAATGGTATAAAGGTATGTAGAAAATTTTTGGCTCTAACCAGATTCATTTGAAAAAATAGTTTGATTACAGCTTTAGAAGAAAAACAGTAATTAATATTTCAAAATATATAAGAATAAGACCTTTGTGTATGCAAAGATTTAAACAGAACACAAAAATGCTAATCAAAAGTGAAAAGTATTTATAAATTAAACTAAATTAGTTTTTTTGATCAAAGACACCATTGATAGAAATTAAAATATAAAACATAGATTGGGAGAAGATATATAATATACAATATATTTGTAATATATTATATAAAAGGTCCTACACCCAGAATATCAAAGACACTTCTACAGACCACAAAAGGAAAGATGCTAATGACCGAATAAGAAAAATGACAAAAGTCTTTAACAAGTACTTTACAAGAATATATCCTAATATAAATAAATATGTGAGAATGTAACGTAACGTATTTTGTTAATCACCAGAGAAATAMAAATCAGAATTACAAAATGATATCACCACACACTCAATAGAGTGGTTAGAACTGAAATGACAACATCGAATGTTGACAAGGATGTGGAGCAACTGGAACTCTCATATTTATTGGTACTGGAAAAACTACCTATGAAAAATGTTACACAGTATTTGCTAATACTAAATAGATGTGTGCCTATGATGCACAGCAATACAACTAATATAAATATATTCAGAATAGTTACATTTACATGATCATTATAAGACAAGAATGTTCATAACAATACTACTGAAAAAAAGGCTCAAAACTGGATGGATGTTCATGAACTGAAGAATGCATAAAAATCATGATTATATTTATACACAAAACTATTGTAAAGKAATGAGAATGAAATAAATCAGAATGATATGCCACCTATTAATTTTATAAACATATGTTGAATGAAAGAAGACAGACATGAGAGTTATGCACTATAAMTCCATATGTATGAGTACAAGAAGCAAAAAGGAAAAAAAAACTATGACAGAAGAATTCAGGATAGAGCTTATGATATGGGGGAATTTACTAATTAGACAGTGGCAGGAGAGAACTTGCTGAGTTTAGGCAGCACTCTATTTTTAAGCAACATTCTATTTATACGAATGGATCCAACTTTAAATTCAGCATGGTACATTTATATTTGTGCCTTTTCTGCAAGTATATTATGCCTCAGAATTAAAGTAATTTTGTAAAACTTTAGAATTTTTATGTGTCCACTACAAATTATTTTTTACTATAATCTATGAACCAAGAAAGTTTCTTCTTGTACTCAAAAGTTACTATTACAGAGAATATTAACATCATTCCATCTATGTTTGTTTGTTTGTTTATTTTTGGTACCAGAGATGGACCAGAGGGGCACATAACCACTGAACGGTATACCTAGTTTTATTTTTTTTATTTTGATACAGGGTCTCCCTAAGTTCCCAAAGATGACTTTAAATATACAATGTTTCTCCTTCAGCCACCCTAGCCACGGGGATTGGAGGCATGTGTTAGTTTAAAAAGTATTCTTGAACTGAGCATTCACTCAGAAAATGTTTATTTAGAACTTCTAATAACTTGAGGATACAACAAAGGGAGATTTGTGAAAGGATATTGATACAAGGCAGTATTAGAATTTAGAATAAAATAACAAATATCATACGCAATAGTAAATAAGGACGCCTGGTGGCGCTGCAGGATAAGAATGTGATTATTGGGCACTCGGATGCCTCAGACGCCATTGAACCAGGAATCAGAACTCTGAAAGCTCCCTAAAATAAGGAGGCATTGTAGGTGAGCTCCAGGAGACAGATCTTCAGAGAAGGGATCATTCTAAGTGCATGTCAGACAGAAATATTTAACTCAAGATTATTTAACAAAGTCGTTTGAGTGGACTGTATACCGAGTAGAAGGAACTGCACCTTCTGGACGGATTTGAACAATGCAGACTGCTCCAGCAAAATCCCCGCAGAAAAGGCAAGTCATTTTCTTTGCTATGCTGTTGTTTTTGTGGGAGACTGACTCTGAAGCAATTAGATATTCCATGCCAGAAGAAACAGAAAGCGGCTACTCTGTGGCCAACCTGGCAAAAGATCTGGGGCTCAGGGTGGGGGAGCTGGCCACTCGGGGCGCGCGAATCCATCACAAAGGCAGCAATCAGCTCTTGCAGCTTGATGAAAAAACCGGCAATTTGCTTCTACAGGAAAAACTAGACCGGGAGGTGCTRTGTGGGGCGACAGAACCTTGTATATTGCATTTCCAACTGTTACTAGAAAACCCGGTGCAGTTGTTTCAAATTGATGTGCAACTCACAGATGTAAATGACCATTCTCCAGAGTTCCTAGACAGGGAAATGATCCTTAGAATCCCAGAGAGCGCCCAGCCAGGGACTGTATTTCCGTTGAAATCAGCTCAGGACTTGGACATGGGTAGCAATAGCGTTCAGAACTACACAATCAGCCCCAACTCCAATTTTCATGTTGTTACTCATAGTCATGGGGATGGCAGAAAATACCCAGAGCTGGTGTTGGACAAAGCCCTGGACCGGGAGGAAGAGTCTGAGCTCAGTTTAACCCTCACAGCACTGGATGGTGGGGTGACACCCAGATCTGGGATCATGACAGTATACATTGAAGTAGTAGACATCAATGATAATGCTCCCAAATTTTTACAGTCCCTGTATGAGGTACAGGTTCCTGAGAACAGTCCTATAAACTCGTTAGTTCTTGTTGTTTCTGCTCAAGATTTAGATGCAGGACCATATGGGAGTGTATCATACACACTATTCCAAGATAATGAAGTTTCTCAACCATTTGTAATAGACCAAATAACAGGAGAAATTCGTCTGCAAAGAGCATTGGATTTCGAGGCAACTAAACATTATAACGTGGAAATTGTAGCCACAGACAGTGGGGGCTTTTCAGGAAAATGCACAGTGGCCATAGAAGTGGTGGATGTGAATGACAATGCTCCTGAACTAACCATGTCGAGGCTCAGCAGCTCTATCCCAGAAAACTCCCCAGAGACTGTAGTTGCCATTTTCAGCGTTTCTGATCCAGATTCTGGGGACAATGGTAGGATGGTTTGCTCCATAGAAAATGATCTCCCCTTCCTCTTGAAGCCCACATTTAAGAACTTTTATACCTTGGTGACAGAGGGGCCACTAGACAGAGAGAGCAGAGCAGAGTACAACATCACCATCACAGTGACCGATTTGGGGACACCCACGTTGGAAACCGAGCACAGCATAACTGTCTTCGTTTCTGATGTCAACGACAACGCCCCTGCTTTCTCCCAAACGTCTTACAAGCTCTTAGTTCATGAGAACAA